CGCCGCGGCGCAGTGTTTACGTGCGCCGCTTACGCTAAAATCGTGTGCTCTGCTGCTGCCGCTCTTTTTCTTCGTATTGTTCTATTCTCTTTGTAAATATATATTGTTATATTTATACATACATACATACGTACATACATTCATATATATATATACATACATGCATATGCATATCTTATTATTTTTTACACCTCAACATCTCCTTGCCTAAGTCCTCCACTTCGGAAGGGAGTGGTAGTGCACGTCCTACAGTACGAGTGTATCAGAGTACGTCGGAGATTTTGTGCAAGGAAGAGGTGGAGGAGGAGGAGGAGGAGGAGGAGGAGGAGGAGTAAGGACAAGTCGCCGCTGCTGCTGCCACCCGCGTGCCACCGTGCGCTTGCGTTCGCGCGCGTGTGTGTGTGTGCACGTGTTCCTGTGTGAGAGTGAGTGCGTGCGTGTGCGCGCGTTATTTCGTATGTGTGCGCGCGGAGTCGCACATGTACGGGAGGTACTATTCGGTGCGCCAGTGTCACCGAGCAGCTACATTACGAAGTCCGCAGACTTCACGATTGATATCACTCGCCGTCACGACGAGAAGACGATTCGTCGTAAGACCTCGACGTCCAGTCGCACCAGCTGAAGAACGTGAGTAGTAGTGCACTTGACACGCGTCTTTCCTTTTAAGCCGTTGCTGCAGCGCCGCTCGGCCCCGCACACATGATGCATGTGTACTTTCCTTTCCGTCACTCGACTCGTCGATCCGAGCTATGATTAAATGCCCGGACGCGTAATGAAAATTAAGGTTATGCAAAGGTGCGCGAAGCTTTTACGAAAATGGAAGCTGTCGACAGTCAGTCGACTGGCAGTCAGTCGGCAGGCAGTAGTTGTCAGGTCTCTCGACGCTTACACACTTGACAAAAGCTGCACTGCTTTTAGAAAAGTGCCAACGCCAAGAGCATCGTACGTAGCAGCGCCTTGGTTTACATGCGTTCATGGACGTGTTAGAGTGCGCGCGCGTGCGCGAGTGTATTTATGTGCCCTCTCTATCTATATCTACCAATCTCTCTCTCTCTCTCTCTCTCTCTCTATCTATCTATCTATCTATCTGTCTATCTCTCTCTATCTCTCTCTCTCTCGCTCTCTTGCTCTCTTGTTCTATCTATCTATCTATCTCGCTCCCGTGTTCGTGCGGGTGTGCGTACGCGCGTGAGTGCGTGCGTGCTTGCATTGAGGAAGGGAGCGTATTGTCCATCTCGCTTCCACCTGCCTCGCCTCTCGGCCATCCGATCTCGCCGTCTCGCTCGCACCTTAGCTCATTCGGTGAGAAGCGGCCAGGGCCGAGGCACGCTGATGATAGTAGCGAACAGTAGTAGAACGTAGAGTGGCGGCGGCTGGCCGTTTCGTAGCAGCGGCCGGCACAAGTTGAGACGCGCACGCTGTTTATCGAGGCTGTCGATGACGATGACGTTCCTAGACGATCCTCCTAATGGTGATTAGTGCCCTCATTGGGATGTGAGTGCGCGCGCGCCTCCTCCTTCTAGCCTGAGATGAGACGCGTCCTCCCGGGCGGGTGGTGTTTTATCGGTGCAATTAGAGGTGGTGAGAGGCGAGACGGAAGTGTCGACGACAACAAATGCAGATATTGCGCACGCTTTTGAGGTTAGGATCTTAAGGCTTGTCCGTTCGAGAACACGCTAATAGGGGCGAGAATGTTTGAACGCTTGTTAGTTGTGTTGACGGTGACAGATGAGCGGAATAAGAGCGAAGGAGAGGGAAGACCATCCGCACCCTACCTCGAGCTTACATGCCGTTTTCCCCTCTTTCGGTGAACCATAGCAGCCGCCACCTCCCTCGTACACAACGGACTCGCGCTACATGCACGCATCCTTCGCACGTACGACCGCATAGGGACGAAATATGCATATGCATATACGTATGCACGCACACGCCCATGATTACGTGCTCGTGTGTATCTATATGCGTACTCGCGTTTATGAGCGCTTTAAGTATGTGGAATCCCTTTGTTTCCTATTCGTGTAGCGCGCGTGTGGTCAGTTGATGCGAACGACAGCGGCCGCGAGTTGCCGGAGGAGAGGAATCTCGCGCATTGTTTTACGCACACGTTGAGATATTGTATTGTCGTTAATAGGCGAGGCGTAGTCTGGGAGTGATGGAGAGTAAAGTTTAAACGCGAAAGGTGTCGCGTGCTGTTAGTCGTTGCGTTGCTGCCGTTGGCGCTCGCTTTTTTGCGCAAGAGAAAGTATGTGCCGTGTATGTGTTTGTGTGACGTATTTACAGTTTTCCCTCGACCTCACCTTCCCCTCCCATACTTATACCGTGTCTGTCTTCCTTTTTCCACAAGAGCGTTTTCTGTCAGCTGATTGGAGGTTATGTTTTTTTCGTATTTATTTTTTCTCTTGCTCTCCCTACTGCTTACTTTAAATCAACGCTCGGTTCGACCCTTCCCCCACTTACGCCCCCCCCCTTCACGCTCTCACCCACTCTCTCCCACTCTCGCTCACTCACTCACTCACTGTGCGCTCTCTCTCTCTCTCTCTCTATCTCCCCCTCTCGCCCCCCCTCTCGCCCCCTCTCGCCCTTTCTCGCTCTCTCCATCTTTCGGACTCTTTCTCCCGCTTATTCGCACTGTCTTTCTCTCCATTCGCTCGCTCACTCGCGCTCTGGCGTATTTATGCATGTGTACGACGTGCACGAGTATTGTAAGCATTTAGGTAATTTAGTGGCAAAAGAATCGTCTCGATGTTACTACTACTCCTCCTCCAAAATCAGTACATCTTGTGTATCGAATGCCTATCGTGATAAATAAAGGGAATGCTAATTTCATTGGTGCCAGGAGGTTTTATCTCGTCAAAGACAACGAACCTTCGAGTAACTACATGGTGAGAAGATGCGATTGACTTGGTTTTTTGCGCGAACTCGAGATGACTGCTCTCGGTCAGCGACGTTCTTGCGCGAGAGAGTGTATGTAGATAGAGTTCCGAGACGTACGAGCGAGAAAGAGAGAAAGACTAACGTTTCTGATAGAGCAATTAACACGCCCCACGGACAGGTTAAGACTTTTTTTACACAATTTTACATTAGTACAACTATATATGTGTACATTAAACGTTTAAAGAAGTGTTGTGTTTATTTCATAGAGGCTTATGGGACAGTCTGTTCTAGCGACGAACAGTCAGTCTTTTTGTTATTCTTTTTTTTTTCTTTCTCTTTTTTCTCTTCTTTTTCGGTGATTGAACTCTATGCTGGATTAATATTGCAAAGTTTTTTTTTAACTGTAAAAGTGTTTATATTAAGATAGGAAACCAAAAACTGTAAAATCGATGTTTAATGCTTTAATCAACAATGCTTTTTCTGTATATTATTTACAAGAACAGTGAAACCAAGTGAATGAACAAATAAGAATTATTTAAATGTGCTTAGCTAATGATACTTTTGAACAATTTGGTTTTTGAGTACTTGTGAAGTTTTTCAATAAAGATTCAAATGTCATAATAACAAAATAATTAGTAGAAAGCAACAAGATGCACAATCAATTTATTAAATTGAAATATAGATAATTATAACATTGTTGTTGCTCATTAGATTAGGAAAGTGTAATTAAATTCTGTCATTAAGATTAATGAAGCATTATTTCTCTACAAATACAATTGAACACAATACAATAAAAACTTATTTTAATCACTTCATTAGGTTATCTGAGAGAATGCATACTACAAAGTATCAGAAACATCATTATTGTGAAGACAGGTATTATAAACAATTTTTTTGTTCTTATAGAAATCACAATTTTCTTTTTAAATTATAATTTCAGTAAATTCTTTCAAAATATTCCATAAGTTCATTCACTTGGCATCGTTAATTGATTAATTAATTTATTATGTAAAACTTTTGTTTGTTAGTTGTTTCGATTTATAAGTTAATGAGATTGATTTAAGTATACCTAAAATAATTTTAAGCCGATTACAAAAGAAAAGATTCAATTATTATTTGAGAATATAATGCTTTGATATAAAAGTTCTAGCTTATACTTATTATATGCTTTTAGTTACCTTAGCATGCTCGATAACAAACTTTTACCAAATACATTGACTAAGTATTTGTTTTGTCTGTGTTTACTTTATTAATGTATATAATTAAAATGAGAAATAAATTAAGCTGTTCAATAATATTGAATTCATTAATGGTTACAAAATGCATGACAAAAACAAACAATTTTGTTCCTTGCAATACACATTATTTACAAAAGCTTTGTTTATAGTCTTATTTAACATCTATTTACACTATTTTATACTTGGCATAAAAAAATTTGACGATACTAAAAAGAAATAATTAATTATTATGTAAATGTCCCATAATAAAATTCTTTTATCTACAGATGCCTGCAATTGAGTCACTATTGGCCTTTAAATTCAACAATGTGCAAAGTCACGAGCGACTGGCTAGACCATGGAGGAACTCTTAAGGGTATATAATAATTTTTAATTTCTGTTTTTGTTCTTGTTTTTGTTTCATTTAATGAAAAACATTTAATATTAACTAATTTTATATTGTAAGCGATTTTTAATTTAATTTAAAATTATTTTGCAGATGATTTAAAATGCATGAACGGCAGCCTAAAATCAAACAAAAATAATACAATAGAATGCTATTGTAAATTTCATGTTCGCTTAATAATTTTTATTGTACAAAAAAAATTTTTTACATTCAAATAAAAATGTGCAATTTATTTTTAATGTAAATAATTCAAGTAATGTTGAAATGACCATAATGTTTTATTCGTTATTGTAATAGTAAATGTTATAAGGTATTATGTATTGTTATATGTATGGATGTGTATGTCGTATGACTGTGTGTAATACGTGAAAGTAATAACGAAATTAATAATGTCAGTTTGCAAAGCTACTTTAAAACACTGAAGTTTACACGCTAAGCTATCGATTCTTAGGAAAAATATAAAAAACATCTTATACTTTTATATTTACAGTTCTGACGTCGCAACGTTTTAGCCAAGTCGCCAACGGCATGTGTGTGCGAAGCGAAGCCGCGGATAGCGCGCGACAACGACGAAGATTACGATGAGCAACAATAGTGGACCAAGTGCTTGCCGTCGATCGGCTAGGAGCAAAAATGTTTTCGAATCCATCGAGTCGTATTGCTCCGGTCCGTGTGACACTAAGTATGTCACGTCGTATACGGGTCAGAGCCGATACCCGGTGGATCCCGACAGTCAGTCGCACAACAGCCCCGACAAAGTCCAGCGCAAAAAGCGAAGAAAAAGCATGTGCGACTCGGGGCTCGAGAAGCGCAATAAGGTAATCAAGAGGCGCGCGACTGATTTTAGCAAGCTAAGAAGATTATACGAAGAGCTAATAAGAGTCAAGCTCAAGGATAATAGGATACCCATTGTCCTTATCGAAAGACTCGATGATGATCGTTATTTCCAACCGAAGCTTGCAAACGATAGAAAAAGAGAGGAGCGCATTCAACTGCCTGGATTAACCATACCCGCCAAGGTTGACCCGAAGATTTTAAAATGCAACGTCGTCGTCAAGATCAATAAGAGGCAGACCGACAGCCTCATCGAGGTAAGCAAGAAGCGCTTGTTGAGACTGTCCAGCACGAGCGACATCGACGAGAGGCGAGAGAGAAAAAGTGCTGGTACGTTGCTCGAGAGTGACATTAAAAAGTGTACCGAAAGACTAACTGATAAGTTAGAGAGTAATTCGTCGGACGATAATAAGTGTAATAAAAATCAACCTGTGAGTAATAGCGGCAGAAGACACGCCCGGGCTTCGATCGATAAGAGTAATAATAATAGGCTTCCTCAAAAATTACGGGTGGCAAATTCCAGATTTTCACTAAATTCAATAGCAGAGAGCAGTACCAATGAAATTCATCTCGAAAGTTCAAAATATTCCAAAAGTTTCATACATAATAACCGAAGACTTAAACGCAATTCACTTGATCAAATTAACGAAAGCAACTATGCGAGTTTGTATGAAAACAAATCCAAATGCATCGAGAGTACAGTTGGTGAAACTAATGAAAAGCATTCAGAAAGTTTTGGTAAGAGTATTAGGCGATATTCCAAAAATTCCTCAAAAGACATTCAAAAGTATTCGCAAAATGCGTCGAATAATACCGAAAAAAATTACCTCGACTTTTCTGTTGAGAAATTGCCATTGCTTTCTTCCAATAATAGTGTTGAAAATCAGACTGAAAGTACTTGTGAAACGAATAAAAGATTCCCTAAAAATGCTGAGCATAATAAAAGACGTACAAGAAATTCTACTAATAAAAGCAATGAAAGGTATCCTGATGATTCGGTAGATGTCTGTTGTTTGGAAACATCTACAGAACAGCATAATAAAAGGTTTTTTGAAAAATTTGATAAAGATATTGAAAATGGTTCTAAAAATACCACTGAAAGTCAGAAGATATTTACGCGACAGATGGCTAATAGAAATAATAGCCTTATTCAAAATGCAGAACAAGTCAGTATAAATAGGAGTGAAAATTCGATTGAAGAATGTAGTAAAAAGCTTTATAAAAATTCAGATAAAATTGATCAGTGTTTATATAATGAGACTGAGAAGGATAGAGGAATTACAAGAAATCATGACGATAGAAATGATAAACATAGTGATAATTTAATAGAAGTACGTATGAATTTTATAGGAAATGTTGTTGAAGAGCATAGTGAAATTTTGGAAAACGTAGATAAAAATGTTGAAATGTGTATGAAAAAACAGACTGAATCAATTAAAAAAAACACAAGTAGTCGTAGTGATAAAAATGACAAGAACATTCAAAATGTACAGGAAAATCATCCGGTTCCGATACAGAATATTAATGAAAGTAGTGAAATTAAATCAGAAAATGTAAATAAAAATATTCAGAAGTGTTCAGAAAACTTAAACAGGAACATAAAAAGTCTCGGTAAACATTTAGACGAATCTGTGCATTTATTTGAAAATAATAGCAAAAATCAGTTTAAAAACTTTGAAAATAAGGAAGAAAATGATTCTAAACATTCTACACCAAATTGTATAGTAGAAGAAAGTGATAATTCTGAGAACATTGAAGTTGAAAATGCATCTACTAACAAAAATACAGAGTCTTTTGTTAAAAGTACAACTGAAAATGTCACTGAAAATTCAAATGAAATGTATTCTAAAAATTCAAATAATAAATGTTTTAAGGTTCTGCCAATTCCGATTGAATTTGACGAAAAATGTCAAGGTAACGCAAGTGAGGCGTGTAACGAGAGTAATGAGGTACCTTCTGGCATTTCAACACCCAACAATTTTAATTCTATTCATTGTTTTATCGAAGAACCAAGTATGAATGATCCTAATACAGATAGAAACAATAAAACAGTTATTAAAAACATAATTGAAAATAATAAAAGGCCAAGGAAAAAATTTGTCGGTAAAAGCAATGATAATAATACTCCCATAAATACAGATGATTCCATTGAAAAACATTATGAAAGACTGAGCGAAAATTTGAATAAAAATATTAACGAGCGTTCCAAGACTCCTATTGAGATTATTAATAAAAGAACTACTAGGTTGTCTGATAAAAGAATAGATGATAAAAAAGTTTCGCAAATGCAAACCAAGAATATTAAGAAAATTAGGAGAAAAATAATTGATAAAGGTGAGCCTTCGGAAATTTTAGTAAACGATAAGTTGACTAAAAAACAAAGTTGTATGAAGAATAAAAGTAAATTTTCTGCAGAACCATTAATGAATATGAATGACTGTTCTACAGTTGAAAATGATTATAATACGGCTACAAGAAACTTATGTTGTAAACAAAATAAAAATCTCGATGAATCTGAAGATAACAGTGCTCATTCTATACAAGATTTTCCAGAAAATGGGAAAGACATCTCTGATGAGACGGATAAAAGTATTAAAGAATTTCTTAAACTATCCACAGACAAGCTTAATTCGTTAAGAACAAATTTATCCCTGGATCAAAATGGTGAACACATTGAAAATTCATTGGATAGTAAACAAATTTCTATAACAAATTCTATCGATGATAACGAGAAAGAGCTTCCTGAAGAATCAGCTAAGAATATGAAAAACAATTCTAAAATTGAGAACGAGCCGATGATGGCTTCAAACGAATCCAACAATGAGCATACAAATCATCATGAAAATTTCATAGAAAACAATTCTAATTCTTGTAATGATCCAGTTGAAGAAAGTATTAAAGAGCTTCCCAAAGAGTTGAGTGAAAATTTAAAAAACTGTAATCTAATATCAACAGGAAACCAAAATATCGGTGAAAAAAAATCATTACTCGAGAAAGAAGAAAAGCAATGTGAGAATATAATAAATGGAAATTTAGACTCTAGTCAAACTTCTGATAATGAAGAATTTAACGAATCACATAAAAATGTAAAAGAGTGTTCTAAAAGTCAAGCCGACAATGCAACAGTTACAAAAAACTCGTCTTTTTGCGAATATGAAAGAAGTGCAGAAAATTTGATAAAACTCGCAATGAATTCGAATCAATGTGATACGAAAAAGGAGGAGAAACACTGTAAAGAATCCAATAAACATATCAAAGATTGTTTGGAAACTCAATTTGTGCATAAAATGGCTACTTGGAATTCTTCGATTTCTAAAAACGATAACGAGGCCAATAATATTATACATAATAAATTAAATTATCTTCCAAATGATGTCAATAAAAATGAGGAAAATTTTTCTGAAGGGTTGCAAGAAAATATCATAAAAAGTATGGAGATTGTAAAAAATGTATCATCTTGTAAACACGATAATCATTATAATAATATAATAATTGATAAAGCAGATTGTATACAAAATGGCATTTTCAAGAATGACGAAAGTTTGTCGAATGATTTATATAATAACATTGGAGAGTATTGTAAAAATCAAATCGAAGATAATAAGAAAGTTTCAAGAAAACTATCATCCGATGGACATAGTGAAAATTTTATAGAAAAAAATTTAGATTCGCGAAATATTATTGACAAAAAGGAAGAAAGTTCTGGCGATGAATTACAAAAGGTAATAAAGGATTGCACGAAAAGCCAAATTGAGAATAATAAAAGAGTTACAAGAAAATCGTCGCCTGATAAGCATGAGAGGCATATCGAGGATTCAGTTAGTGACAATTCAAACGTTAACCAAATTCATATAGAAAATAATAAAGAGACGATTAATGATGAAGAACATCAGAAAAATTATGATGCTGCTTTAAATACAAATTGTATCGATTATTTGCATTCTGTTGAGAAAGCTAATGATACTGATTCCGAACAACTTCATTATAAAGAGAATTCCGAAGTTCCAATAGAAAGCGATGCAACAATTATAAAAAATACATCACTTAAAAAAGAAATAGTTTCTACGAATTTTATTGAAAATACCGTTGATTGTACTCCAACGTCGTTAGATGAAAATAGAGATGATGATTTAGAAGACGACATTGATAATAGTATAAGAGCATTTTCTCAAAACATGTCAGACTTTAAGAACATTCTACAAATCACGAAGGATAAAATTAACGAAGTTTGCGTGGAAAATAACCTCACTAACAACAGTTCCTTATTAACACAACATTTAATTGGCGAAATCAGTGAAAAACCATCCGAATGTTCTGACCAAAACTGTATAAACCGTCCAAAGGAATTCATTGAAAATAATAAAAATATAAACAATTTATTCGAAAAAAATGTTACCAAGCAATTGCAAAATATTAATGAATTAAATTTTGATAAAGCATCACATTTATTGGAATCCAGTGAAGAAAAATGTGAAAAATATGAAAAGAATGTTATTGATTTAGAAGAGGATAAGGAAAAATATTTAACAAATTTTACGGACAATAACAAACAGATAAGTGAAAAATCACCTCAAAAATTTTTCGAGCATATAACCAACGATGATTCACAATATATTGCAAATGTTCTTCCAATATTCAGCGAAAATAAAGAGGAATCTGCAAGTTTGGATAGAAATCATAAAATAGATTCACAAACGATGCCGAGCGAATCTGAAATAAATGAAGGCTTAATTGAAGATAAAATTATTCCTAATCGGACGGATAATTTCATGGACAGCAGCAGTACCTCATGCATGCAAATTACGATTAATGTAAATAGTGATAATGAGCCGAGTAACGATATAGTTCTAGGCTCGGAAAATTTAATTGAGATTATCGCAGAAAATGGTCCAAATTCTATTGCTGAAAAGTGCGAAAACTATTCGGGACAATGTACCGAGGCGAACGATAATAAAACAATATTAACTATTGAAAATACCAAAAGTATTCCTAATAATGTGCAAGTAACCGTTGAAAAAGATTTTGAAGATGCTACACAACAGGTATCGTTTACAAATAATGAAAATGAATTTGAAGATTATTTTGAAAACTTTATCGAATCTGCGGATAATACAGCTCCGGAAATTAAAAGTAATTGTGCCAGAATAATAGACGAAACAAAGGATAATTCTTCTGAAAAATTAGTTGAGACTGCTAATGAAATTACAAAAATTCAAGCGGATAATAATGATAAAGACATTAATGATAAAATTGTTAATGATAATTTAGTTGTCGATGATACCAAAGCTCACGAAGATTTAATCGAAGATATTGCTGAAATCCGTGCCGAAGATCTGGATGAATGTATAAGAAACTCTTCCAAAATATTAATCGACGATGACGACCGATCGACAATGACGACCTTCCATTCAAATGAGAAGATTACGGAGATTTCTGTTGAACATTTAGATAGTAAAGGCAAGGAAAATAATTCTCATATTCCAAGGGATAATGTATATAATAATGTAATTAGTTTATCGAAAAGTGTCGAGGATTGCTGTAAGAATTCAGTCGACGTGACACCTAATAATAAACCTTTTTTTGATAATACTCCGGTTGGCGATTCGCAAGGCGATGGGAAAACAAGCAAACCCAATCCAATAAGTATTATAGATAAGAGTTCTTTTAGTCGGTTGGCTCGAAATTCATTTTACAATCCTGAAAAGACAATAAACGGAATCATCGAGAGAGCGATTATTAAGGATTCTGTTATTAATCACGAGGCTCGTTTTATGCTTTCGTTCGCTGATAAGCCAGAGCATCCGATTACAAATGATGAAATGTTCATCGTGGAGAGGCGAAAAGTCACGCTAATGGAATTGAAGAAAAAATGCACGGGCAACCTGGATAAGCGACAATCTAAGAGCAACGAATTGTCAAAGCAGAAGGCCCGTGTGACCCGTTTGCTGAACATCAGATCCGGTTTATTGAACAGCTCCCTCGACTCTATGGCGGATAATGCATCGGAAAACGATGAGAACTATCGTGAAAGCTTGTCGGAGGATATCGATAGCGATGAAAACTTAACCGACGAGCTCAAGCGCCTTATTCGCCAGCGCATCGAGTCGAAATACAATAAGAAAGATCAGCAGCAGGTGGAGACGGTCGTGCTCAACTATCCTACAAACGCCAATTTAAATTGCAAGGATTGTGGCGATGACTTTGCTAGTAATCGCGAACTAAAAAGGCACATGAAGATCAAGCATCGGGAGCGGCTCGTTATAAAGATTACCAAGACCAATGAGAACAAGCACGTAACGCACATAATCGAGCCGGTGCCAAAGTCAAAAGAGGAAGAGCAGCCCCACGAGACGATAATTAGCGAGAAGGCGATAATAGAGGGCGAGACTATTGGGTTGATAGATAAGGAAAAAAGGCCGGAGGACGAGAGCGAGAAACAGGATGAGAGTGAATTAACCAAGGGCGAGATTAAGATAATCGTGAAGAAGGACAGCGGCTCCAAGAACAGCCACGTCGTCAAGGAGATCAAAATAACCCCCAAATCAGCTGAATGCGGGAGTGGCGTTGGTAGCAATATAATGCCGCCAGGCTGCTCGGCAATTACCTCGGAAACTGTACAACCTGTTAAGCGACGACGGGGGAGGCCAAGAAAGTATCCGATATACACTGGCAACGAGCTCGTCCCAAAACAGATTACCCCGGTCCTTGATTTCAAGAACGAGACCAACGCGCCCACTCCAAAGATAATCACCGACGAGCTAATCTTCGATCCCGTCGAGTCAATCGTGCTGCAGCCAGACATAGTGTTCGACAATTACGAAAACGTCACCATCGAGAGCACATCCAACGCTAAAGCAAAGTGGATCGCATCTCCCAGCTCCAGGTTAGCCAAGATGTGTAAGCTACGAAGGAAGCGAAGGCGCACGCTGTCACCCCAGAGCCAGACCGAGGTCTTCGTACCCGCGCGAAAGAGGGGTAGGCCAGCCAAGTACTCTTACCTGAGGGACGACGATGAGACGGCCAGTGAGCCGGACTTTTGTACGAAATATAGAATAACGAAAGAGCTGGTGGTTCGATTGACGAAACTGGACGCGCATAATCGTCTTCGTAAAGGTTTTAATGCCAAGATTAACCGTATCGGCCATATTGACGACGATATCGACGACGAGTCCGCAATATTAGCCGAGGGTAGCCGTAGGGGTATCGTGAAGCCGGGAAGGATCGTTTTCGGAGCTCTGGATGACGGCCACAGGGAGTCGATAAAGACCGTGGCAAGAGCGAGCCTCGAGAGCAACAATAACAACGTTAACGAGATTCAAAAGTGTCTGTCCGTATCGAGTATACCGAGAAGGATGATGGTCCAGAGGGAGGAGCGAGGGTGGGGAACGAGCGAGACTAGGGCCGAGGTCGGCTCGACGGACGTCGGTCAGGAAGTCGTCCACAAGTCGGCAAAGCCGCGAATGGAGACGAACGCCGCCGAGGCTACGACGAGTAAGGCCGGCGAAGTCACTGGTGATAATGTGCCGCTTGAACGCGACATTAATAGCGATTGTCTTTCAGGAACGCAATTGGTGGTGACGCCGAAACGCCAGACGATAGATAAGACGGAGGCCGATGAGAGTCAGAAGGCTAAGCTCCTCATGCTTATGAACGCGACGACGCCGTACGAGCCCGCTGGCGTCAAAACCACCACTACCGAATCCATCCAGACGCTCCAGCCTCAGACGACGACGATGCAGCTGCAGCCTCAGCAGTTCTGCATCCTCTTTATACCGGACACGATCTACACGTCGGAATCAGCCAACAAGGAATTCACACCCACGGCGACGATCGTCAACTTCCAGCCGGTTCCCGACGCCGAGATGGCCAATCGCTCCCTCATCTACACGCCCACTACGCCAACCAAAATATCTATTGACGAGCACGCGAAATCGTACGTCTGTAGCACGTGTACCCAGGTGCTTGACATGATTGGCAGACTCGAGGCAAGTCTCGGTATGACCGAGGAGGACAAAAGCGCCATCAAGTGCCCCTACTGTTCCAATCATTTCCAGTCGCTGTTTTATCTCGAGTATCACGTTATGCAGGAGCACCTCAAGTGCGAGAACGAGAAGCAGTGCAGGCACTCGCGCTTCAACAGCTTACGAATACCGAGCCACGAGGCCGCCTCCGAGTTCGAGATCTACATTACGTTCGCCCTCAAATGCCGTAGCTGCTACGACATCTTCGGCACGGTCCTCCAATTGAACGATCACGTTATGCACAAGCACAAGACCCTCGTGCGACTACGCCCGTCGATGGGGCCGGCGGCTGTCGAGGCCGTCTGCTCCGCGTACCCGGCGTTCGCTCGTAAAAACGGTATAAGGAATCCGGGCCCGGTGTTCCAGTGCCCGAGCGACTGCGTCTGTCGCATTGGCATACGCAGTACCGACACGCCGCTCCAACGCCAGCAGATGCTCAAGCGCTGTCCTCACGTAATGAGGCGTCTCGAGAAAATCGAGTCCGCCGCTTACGAGGTGTACACGTGCACCCTCTGCAAGAGCACATTCCTCATGAAAGACGAGGTGGTCGATCATCTCATGAAGATGCACGAGGTCTCGTGCAAGTTTCCCTGCTATACCTGCCTCACCAGCTTCCGCAGTCTCCAGATGCAGGAGAATCACCGCTGCTCCGAGACGACCTTGCATGACATCGACAAAATACTCAGCATCGCCATACTTCCAACCAACGTAGGCGGCAAGGACAGTAACAAGTACCTCGAGCGCGAGGACTCGTCCACGGATGAGTACGGCACGATCAAGGCAACCGGCGCCAAGGGCAGCCTTCCCGCACCTCCGCCGCCCCATAAAAACGGCTTCAAGCGCAAAAGCGAGACGTCCACGACAGCGGCCATGAACCGAGCACAGGGCGCGTGCTTGCCCAAGAGAGCGAAGCCTGTCAACGGATTCATGAAGAAGCGTAGGAGGCACTGTCCTAAGTGCAAGAAGCGCTTTGCGTATTACAAGAGCCTCCAGGATCACATTATTTACGAGCACATACTCAAAGGCGACGGGCACGAAGGACCAAAGAAGATGGCCATTGAGCTACTTAAGCTTGTGAAGGAGGGCAAGGGTAACGGTGAGAGGGCCCACGAACTCGCGAAAATGCTCATTGGTCACACCGACCCCGACGGCGTACCGCTCAAGGATCTCACGATGATGGACGAGCAGGAAAATTGGGAGGAGGTGAAGAGTACGCCTAGTAAGGAGCCGGTGAACGACAACGATCTGGTCAAGTGCATCAGGTGTAAAATGCGTTTCAAGATGCCAGTTAATTCAGGTGCGACGTGCTTGCATTACCTTTTACTCCCGTAATTACCCTTAAGCATTCGAGCCCTACATTATTTCGCATTATTTATCTCTCCTCCCCATAAATAAGCTTCGCGCGTCATTTGACACAAGCACCGACGCGACTTTCAGTTTATCCTCAATTTACCGTACAAACAATCGTGTATAATCGTGCCTTTACCCTTTAAGTCCATAATTTTTAGCCAATTTTTTTCAAAAAATCATATTTTTTAAAATTTCAACGAAGATAATTTAATCTACCAGGATGAGTTGACGTAAAGTAAAGTAAATTATTAATTAATTAATTGATCGATCGATCGATCGATCGATCGATCGATCAATCAATCATATAACAGGCCTTCGACGTGTCAAAATTTTTATTATTCTCAGTGACAAAATTATAATTGACGTTTGGATAAGGGAGAAACGATTTTCAGGCCAAAATTTGATTAGACTCGTTTTGTTAGATTAACCATTAGGAGGGTGATGAAGTCCAAAATCGCCCGACGCACCTTATATTGTCGGATAAGTAATAAAATGTTTGAATTTGCAGAAAACCAAGCGAGGTTCAACAGGCAGCATCACTTAACGAAGACGGAGTTGAAAAAAATGGCACTTTGCGAAAGCTGTGAGAACGGCGGCCCAAAAACACGACGGCGCATCGTCATCAGCGAGAGCCACAATTCGACTTGTCTCGCCGCTCCCGAGCCTCGACAACTCAAAATTATCCATCCGTTCGTTTGTAAAAAATGTACCGATACCTTCCCCACCCACATTGAGCTCAGATCTCACAAGCTCGCCGTGCACGCCAAAGCCGTCCCCGACACCTGCGACATCTGCACGAAAACCTTTACCTCGGCGCGCATGCTCCAGAAGCACAAGAAGACCCACCGCGACAGCTTCCTCGACGTGCCGAGAAAGCCCGAGGATGAGGAGGAGGAGGAGGACGAGGAAGAGACAACGACCAATCCCGACTCTTCCCACGACTGCTCCAAGGACGCGGATGCCAATCGTTCACTCGACGGCAAGACCAACTCCTCGACGCGCAGAGACTCCTCCGACAGTAGCAGCGCCGGCTCTAAGGAGCCCGAGGAGCAATTCCTCAACTGCACCTTTTGCGAGGAGGTCTGCTCGTCCAAGGTCAGCCTGAAGAATCATCTGAAGCGCGCGCACGGTCGGCGCGCCTCTATCTGCCAATTCTGCAACGGATTGCTCATCGACACGAGCGAGGTGCGGCACATGCTCGATTACCATATCGTGCCAAGCAAGTCGAATCCGCGTCACGAATGCGAGCGGAAGGTTGGCTTGGGCGGGCCGTGGTCGCGCGACGAGGCTGGACGCATGCGCGACGACGTCGAGGAGCTCGTGCGCACCCTAGGCAAGCACAGGCTCCAGTCGCTCATGATGTACCACGACTTTGAGGGCAAGTGCAACAACGCCATAATGCGGTGCCCGATATGCCCGGAGCTCTTCGCGACCCGCGAGTCCTGTCGCTTTCACTACGTGTGGATCCACGACGACAATTGTCTCCTCTGCGACGAGACGTTCAGGTCGGGCAGCAGTGCCTGCCAACACAAGGTTGACGCGCACACGTCGACGGCTAGTTACCTCTGGTGCATACAGCGCCTCGTCACCGCTATCGTTGGCACACTGAGGCTTGACGCCAATCAGCCATCCCACGTCCTCTACCAAATCCTCGTCAGAAGGCTCGAAGACGCCCTGGAGCAAGAGCGGATCGCGTACGAGCGCGAGTTAGCTCAGGTACGTGGGCAAAGCGAGGCAGGCGCGAGCGAGGAGACACCGAGCGTCGGCGAGCGCTTCCTCGAAGAGGTTGTCCTTAGCGAGGATCAATTGCCGGACTCTAGTAATATCATCGAGGTCGTGATCGGCAAGGAGGACTCGGAGGACGATCTCCTATCGATGCTGAACCTCTCGCCGAATTACGAGAGCTGCGAGCAGCATCGGCTGCCGAACGCCGGTGCCGCTCCACCCGAGGAAGAGGACGACGAGGAGACGACGTCTGCGGCGAATCTGGTGAATGCAATGAATGCGGTGCCGTCGACACCGCCAGTGATGTGCGCAACGACAGCGATGGCAGTGACGACGACGGCTGTTGCTACGACAGCGACGACGACGACGACGATCCCCGTCGTCGAGAGCTACGTTGCCTCGGGCGTTTGTAAATATAGGCTGGAGAACGACGAGGAGCAGCTCGTGCTCGTCGTCACCGACGACGATCTCGTCACTTTCAAGGACGACATCGGCAGTCTTGCCGAGAGGATCAGCACCACCTGCGACTCGCTCACCCTCGAGGAGATCACCGATATGCTTAAGGCCTACTTCGAGAATGTTAGCCTGGGCGGAAGCGCTGGTGGGGCTTCATAAGTCGATGTTCACCCCAGTCTTTCGAAAAACTGAGAAAGTGCGCGATTGTGTTTAATATGTATAATGTAAAATGTAATAACGATATGACGGTCATTCCCCCGATATTTTTCGATCTCTACCTCTCTCTCTCTCTCTCTCTCTCTCTCTCTCTCTCTCTCTTCCTCATTCACTTACGTTCTTTTCTCTCATCCTTCTCATCCTTTCTAGCTATCTATGAATCTATCGCTCTATCGATCACACGCACACACAACAAACAAACAAACACGCACGCACACACAAACAAACACAAAATCTCTTTCTCTCTCACTCTCTCTCTCCCTCTCTCCCTCTCTCTCTCTCTCTCGCTTTCTACGTTTGAACTTGCCCGCCCTTCCGCAATATTTTCGCTACTATTATACTTAAGTGGTAAATAAAAGGATGATATGTACACGAGGTTAAACATCGCCTGGCTGGGAGATTTTGTTAGAAAAAAAAAAATAGTATTGACTTTTTAGGGTAAGGTTCTCAAGTAGAAAGAGGCATATCTACGAGACTTTCCTTTTCTATTAATCTGGCGTTTTTTCATGAATGAAAGATAACGCGCAAGTGCTTTTGTTAATCATGAAGATTATAAAAAGACTGCCGACGATAGTGCGAGAAAATGAGAAAATATTTAAGTGCTCGGTGTTAATTGTTAAGAAGAAAGTGAATTTGTAAATTGAACAAATAAATGTTTCATGCTTCTGAAAGCGTAAAAAATTTAAAAAAAAAAAAAAAAAAAAAAAAAAAAAAAAAAAAAAAAAAAAAAAAAGATTGTTTTCGAGTTGATACAGATATAAATTAAATGACGTAAAGTATAGACCATGAGGCCATGATAATCAAAACTTCCAGATGAAAGCTGAATATATTGCTTATTGTAGCCGAATCACGGTTTTTAACCACATCATAGAGAACTTTTCTCTTGTTTTGAATTGTAAAAATGTATCTGTAATCGATGAGTCGTTTAAGTGGTGATAAAAGTAAATTGCACATTTTATAAGATTCGATTGTTATGTAATATTAATTAATCCAAATTATAATTAAACCGATAAGAATGAAGGACTTTATGATAAATAACTAAAATTTTGTTATATTGGACGTAACGTAGTGGTTAAAAAAAGCTATTTAAAGTAAATAGTTTAAAAGTAAATTTCAAATATCAAGGCCTTCGACTGCCGCTTTATAAATTTCCATTTATAATAAAATTGTTGAATCCTATAAAATAGTAATTTACTTTAATTTTAACAATCGATAAATAATAATTAGCCTTGACCAAAAATCAATGAAAGATAATTTATTTTCCAATTGAATTGCTTTCAATGAAATGTTCCATCCAGGGTATTAAACATATACATATCTTTCTTTCTTTCTTTCCCCCCCCCTCTCTCTCTCTCTCTCCCCTTTCAAAGATCAGCAAGTCAGTATTTTTTTCTTTATTTTTGTATTTTATGTTGCCGCAACCCTTTTTACGTATTCTTTCGCTTGTTTTTAATTGTTGATACGGAAAAGAGGCAAGATTGAGCGTCTTTTCAAATTTCCTAACTACGTGTGCGATGTTGTCGAGAAATATTTACTATCGGGGTGAATGAATTTAATCGTAGGATTAACTGTTTTGCAAATTTTTTTTTTTTTTTTTTTTATTTTTTATTTTTTTCGTTGGTTGAATATATACATAAGATAAAAACGTGTATGTACAGTTCTTGATAATGAATAATTAAAAATGAGAGAAGCGTTTGTATCCAACTAAGAGTATAGAGCTTTCCCACGTACATTCGTTACGTTTTTGTTTACATTCGACATTTTTATAATGAATAGTAGAGATGAAAATAACAAATAGAGTAACTATGAGAGAGAAAAAAAAACAGCCATAATTTACACCTGCGATCTATCAACGCATTGTAACATTTATTGTCAGCGAATAAAATTCTTCAGATATTTCGTAGTTTTGACCTTTCACTTTTCCTAAATTTCTCTGAAGCAAATATAATGTAAGGTGATCTTATTTATTTGTCAATAATTTTTTGCGTATTTTAGAAAAATATTTATCAATATTTTTTAGTCTTTATTTGAATTTTTAATGGTTTTTAAAACTTTTATTTATTTATTTCTCCCGTAAATGCGATGTGTAACATTAAATTTTATATTTAAAAAAATTTAAATTTAAATAAATACTGAAAGATCATTTTAAATATGTAATAATTAAATGAACGATTGTATAATGTACAAATTTTTTTAATAAATATAAGCTTCTTTTACAGTAATAAAACCATTTATATAACATATGAGAGTACTTAGTAAACATTGTAAATGATAATAAATTTACCATTACTTTATTTACTTTTGCATAGAAACAGTTATTAAACAAGTAATTAAACAGAAAAGGTTCTAATAATTTTAACGATTATTGTTTTGTAAACAATTTTTATGTATTAATTATTACTATGGTTCACTTTTGCATTATTGTTATTCTTAATCTGAAATTTCGATCGCAGATATGGAAATACAATAATTAAGATTAACCGAAATAAAGTATTTTTAATTAAATTTAAGTAACATTACAAAATATTATTTGGCAACGTCGCTCTTACAAAAAATATATATAGTAACGTCAATTGTTCTTATAACTGCTAAAGCCTTGCAGTAGATAAACGTTATAAGGCGGAGACTTAATTAATGCAATAAGCAATAATTGAAGAGACACAAGTTGGTAGAAGGGGAGAACAAGTAGTAATTTATATGGCTATTCGCACACATTCGGTTAGCAACATTTTACCTTTTCAATTTATTCCAAGTCGTTGACAAACTCTTTCTTTTCAATTGATTCGAGTCGCATACATTGAGAAAGAACTTTTTCTTTTTTTTTTGTGAAAAAAAAAAAAAAAAAGAACAAATAAGATATAAGATGAAAAAAAAAACACTCCAACAAATTGTTTGTAACAAAAATTGATTCTTTTAAACTTAAGATATGCCGTGTGTCAAGTAAAAAATATAAATTAAATAAATTAAAGATGAAAAAAAGAATGCTCATGTATGTAATTAATATTTCTAAGTGGATTCTTCGTATTAGCTTTACTTAAAAGTTTTAAAAAAGAGTTTCTTATATAATTTTTTCTGGTTTTTGTTTTGTTTGTTTGATATTTTCTTCTCTCTTTGGAATTGCAAAAAAAAATTAAAATGAAAAAAAAATATGAAAAATTATTGTTACACAATGATACTTGATTTCATTACAATTAATATGGAAAATTTAAACGTAATAGATAATACGCGTATAATAAAATACTTAAAATAAATATTTTATGCAATTTTATTATATGAATATTTATTTATTAGATACTTCATAATTGCTTGAAAAAAGCAGTTTGCATCGTGTTCGCCTCACAACCAAACAGTTTTATAAAATATTTAACATAAGAGAAAATGTCGAAAAAACCGAACTACGTTATATCGTATTATGAAAAAGATATTGCATTTTTTTATGATAAATAAAAAATATATCATTAAAAATGAATTGAAAACTGAGAACTTTTATCTCTCCTGTAAAAGTTAAAAAAAAAAAAAAAAAAAAAAAAAAATAAAAAAAAAATAAAAATAAAAAAAAAAATAGAAAGAAGAAGAAAAAAAAAAGCGTAAATTTGTACCGATAAATTACTACGTAATTTTACGATAAGTAAACAAATTTTGTATAACCATATTTCGACTAATTTGGCTAAATACTGTAAATATTGCTTTGTTTTCCGTTTAAAAAATTGTATAATTTTTCATACATTTGTATGAAAGAGTATAATAATATATAGCTAATACTAATTAGCATTTCCTTTAACACATAGAAAATAATACAATTGTTTTATTATACGAAAAACATATAATAAATTATATTTTATTTTATTAATATTATAAAAAATTATTCTCCAAATTGTGATCAAAATTAACTTTGTTTATGTGAATGCCTGTTTTAAAAATTTTGTAACTATTGTACTGGCTTTTGTATAGTTGACTATAAACTTTATTGTTGTATTAATATATTGTTTACATTAAAATGTTTATGTAATAACTGTTAAGATGAAAATTATCACTCATCTGACATTATAATAAAAATCTTAAAAAATTATAAGTACAAAAATATTTATTTATTTTTTTACAATAAACGGCTAATAAACGTTTCATTAGCATTTTTTCAAATTATTTGCAAAACATTTCTATGAAAATTATTAAAATATTATAATAATTATTTCACTAAACATGTATTAAAAATATTTAATTATAAATAATTATAATATTAAAAATTGAAAATCAAGTTAATAGATATATATATATATATATATATATAGAGAGAGAGAGAGAGAGAGAGAGAGAGAAAGAATTGTGATACTATTTTACACTTATATGGTTAAAATACTTATATTTTTAAATGATTATTATTTTTTATTTTTTTTACTAAATCTTATTCGAGCAAACGTCTATTTATTGATTTATTACATGGAGTGGTCGAAGGATAAGGAAAAAAACACGAAACGAGGTCGAGTATGATGATTCAAAAGTCTAAATCTTGTATCGCAAATGTTCTAGCTTTGATACTCGTATATATAATCAGATATGAATAATCGAATGAAAAAAGAAAAGCTTTCCTTATGCATATCGATAATAGAACGAGATAGTGACGAGATTCGTGTTGGTAAAGACAAATTCGCTTAATTATGAATGAATGTGAAGAGGGAAAAGAATATCTCTGTACGTTTGCTTGTCAAAAATTTCTCCTATAAACTGTTTTTCTTAATTTCATAAGTTTAATACAATAATGCTCTGATTTAATTAAGAACCAAGTTAGTGCAAATATTAAAATTACCATAATGCATTTAATTGCATAATGCTGCCTCAAATGGTCATTGCAATCATATTCAATTTCAAGCACTTAAAGTGATTATAACAAAGTAACGTCTCTTTATATCGCAGATATTCCTGATTTAAATACATTATAAAAAGCAATTTGTATA